AAGAATATGAGCGAAATCGAATTTTCGACCCTTGCCGCAAAATTAAGAATTTGTCTGATTTTTACAGGCAGGCACTCTTAATAATATAAACATGACAAAAATTGCGTGGAGGAAGTGCCGGAAGACCTTTCTTGAAGCCATTTTTTTCTCATTCGAGAAAACTTTTTTTCAAAGTTTCCGCACAAAATTTTCCTCATCATTTTACGTAATATCATTGGCTTCGAATTTGCACTGGTAATTTGTAATTTGTAATTTGCACTTTGTAATTTGCACTGGTGTTACACTTTTTGCACCGGTGTTACACTTTTTGCACTTGTGTTACACTTGAACTGCACTGCTCTCAGCCAATCAGAATCGAGTAATTTTTTCATGTATACTATCAATTTATGTATTTAATTATTCTTTCAATTCACTTTTAACTTTTATTTAATTTCTTTTTTCTCTTTTTATTTTTTACTTTTTTACTTTTTGTTATTTATTTATTTATTTATTTATTTTAACACTCCGCACTTCGCGTTTTCGGAACAGCCGTAATTTGCTCACAGTTCGTGGTAATTCCCACGAACGATGCGACTTCTTGTAAATTTTGATTAGCTCAGGCTTATCTGATGGCATTGCCGACATTCCGTTGACAGATAAGGGGCGGTAGACGACTCGTCAAGGAATTGTATCGGGCGTTCTTTCTCCCGCCGCTAAAAAAGGAAGCACGCCTGATCGCAGGTTAGCGTGCCACGAAACGTCTTTTGAAATACTGATAAAACTGAGAACGGACCACTCATTCGAACAAGACAATTTAAAATTACAGGACCAGTGGAGCCCGAACTGTTTTTCAGCCATGCAAGACTTCAGATAAGTAAAGTGTATGACATGAAAAAATAATTTCTGCTTATTTGAAAGGCCTTTCAAAATACAGAAGAATGGCGTTTTTTGTTTTTGAAATATCTTTTTCGTTTAAGAGATATTGTCGTTTTTCTATTGTGCAAATTAGATCACGGATGGCGTCATAAGTTTTGCAACTAAACAGTGATAAAATACTGAATAAACGATATCTCTGGAAATATTGAAGCAGTGTTCTTAAAACTTGGCACCACAAATGTGCATCACAAAAGAAACAAATGGCACCCCTAGAACTGTTGCCATGACAACAGTCTTGCCGCTGGTGCTGTCTTAATAAAAACTGAAATCCCCAGTTTTTGTCTTAAACCAAGAACCATCTACCCACCTAATCCAATGATGGGAGTTAAGACAATATGGGAACTATGTCTGTTCCAAGTAGGACCCTTTGTCTCACTTTAGAGGTTGGAAATGGGGATATTTGTTTTTGTTTTTGTTTTTGTTTTTTTTTTTTGACAGAAAGACTGGAGCCAAAAGAGTTGCTATAATTTCTGCTTATTTGAAAGGCCTTTCAAACTACAGAATGGCATAATAGAAAAACGTCAATATCTCTAAAACGAAAAAAGATATTTTAAAAAGAAAAACGCTATTCTTCTGTATTTTGAAAGGCCTTTCTAGTAAGCAGAAATTACTTTTCATGTCATATACACTGGATGCCCGGCTTCCCTTGTCATATTACTACTAGACTTCTACTTGATTCAGCAGCAGTAGCAACTTTATTTCAAGAGTATGGTACAAAACAGTGGATACTGATGAACTGGTGGCCCTCTATCGGCTAGTGATCGTCTTGGAAGCATCTGCGGACGAGAAACCCAATCACGAACTAACGCACACAAACTAGAACACGGCAGAACAAGGTATTTTCAAACTTAAATTTACCAAATGTGAGACCTTTTCATGCTATAAGCTGCACGACAAACATGCGTTTAAACAGTATGCCTCGTGCTGAAGTGCGGGTTAAATCCCAGGCTTCTCACGGAAATATTACTGTTTTAAGCCACCTTAAGAACTTTTCTGTACAGTTTTATGAACGTTGTTTCATGCGCTACGAATTATGGGTAAACGTACCAGGCACCATCTTTTTTGTTACGGAGGATTACTGAAACTTTATATCATTTGTCAACAGTGTAGGACATATAACCGAAGCATTTCGATTCGGAAGTTTTTCCCTGTTAGGTTTGTATTATTTTTCTACCTCATTAAGATATCATTTTGCGTTCTGTTTTGAATCTTTCACAACTCGAAGCGGCATATTCAGTATTTTCAACTTGTAATACAACAATAACTAAACCTTACCACCTAGCTACAATCCAGCTCAATAGGGTAATAACTGCTATCACGAAAGTTAACCATATTCACAAAAAGTAATTGCAGGATTATTTGCAGGACTGTTTACAGGACTATTAGCAGGACTATCAGCAGAATATACAAATATTTTGCCTGACCTAGCCATGATGAACAATAAATCTAGGAAAAGACTGCTGAATACCTATCGCTAACAATTTCGAATTCGTCGAGATTTTACAGGCTAGTAAGTTGAACTGGCAATCCCGGATGATATTCCGCATGATGTATTTGTTTATTTTAAAGATGGATAAATAAAGCTTATTATTATTTAGCAGGATAATTTTCAGTAGCATTCACCAAATTGCAAATGAATAGCATTTTTACATCTACCTTAAATTTAGTTCTGTAGTACTTTAATTTGCAAGGTGTTCGGCTGACGAGTCTCAATGGGTGCACACCCATTATTTCACGAATCAGGACAATTTGAGATTGGTATATTTCCTACTGTCTGTATTGTTGACTCTCGATAGGCCTCTAGAGGAACACTTGAGCTCTCAGAGTGTGAGTAGGAGCTGGAACTTGAAATGAGAGTTCAACATCAGGATATTCATTTGCTATGTCTGCAACCCGTTTGTTCACTTCCGTCAGCATATCCAATAAGTGGTGACAATGATGGTACCTTCGGATAACATCCACCACTTCCTAATAAAATTAAAACATAACTAAATATTATTGCAAAGCACTTCTTTATCTGGGGAGGCGTGCACATTTATTGTCAACTTCATGCATGGTCGCATGACATTTAATCAGTTCGTCAGTCTGTCCCTTCGTCTATCCGCCAGTCAGTCTCTCCGTCCGTCCGTCAGTCAGTCTTTTAGTCAGGCAGGTGGGCAGGGATACAGGTACAACTCCCTGGAGAAATCAGCAAAATGTTTTTGTTCGACAGACTGAATTCCGCACTTCTACTCCCTCGGAACCAGTCATTAAATTTTTAAGATTCCACCCGGACAAACACATATTATACATACTTGAATGAACCAGGATCCAGCTTCTTTGCTTCGCCAAGCTTTATACCCTGGTACAGTAGCGAATGCCAGGAGGAAGTCAGCCTCTCGAGCAGAAAGACCGTTTGCGAGGTCAGCATCGGGAGAATTCATTGTCTGGATACCGTCTTCCGCAATGTTCTCTGTTGATGCTGATAGCCGCTTCATTCTTGGATCGCTTTTTTCCCCCCTACAAGCCTGGATAAAAGATAGTTTGGGCTTGTTTTCGAGAGTTCGGCAATTCGTCGCTGTGAACTCAGACATTAAATCTTCCATTCCGGCCTTTCTGTTGTCCACGCCGTAAATGACATCCTTTTTATCACCATGCGACATAATGCAAAACACAAATGCTGCATATTTGCTGTGATCTCTCGCTGCCATTTCTTGGGCTACTTGCAGAATTTCCAGGCCACCAAGATTCTGTTTGATTTCCACTTTGAAGTGGAGCTCGTTGAAGAGACTTGCAATTGCCTCTTCGTCTAATTTGGAACCCTGACGTTCCTCTTCGCCTGAAAAGTTGAAATTGTTTACCACAAGGCAAATTCCATGTGGAGCTCCACCCATTTCGTATCGATCCAGTTCAGTCGCATCTATTAGATTCAAAAAGAAAGCGCGTCAAACGTCTGGCTAAAAATCAATATACGAGATATTCAAAGTATATCAAGTATAAATAAAAGAGATCTTCCCAGTTATTTAGCAAACGGCTTGAGCAAGAGCGCCTTTAAGAACTTTTTTGAGCCGTCCATAATGATAAAATCTAGAAAAGGCAACGCTCAAAATTCACAGAATTAGAGCTTTAAGCTATCAGTATACCCGAAATGACCATCATTCGTTGGCGCCACTTTACGGTCGGATATTTGACACAAACCCCAATAAAATATATATTTTCTGAAAACTTAAGAATTGTAGATTACAAAGGCATATTTATTTATTAAAATAAAACATGTTAAAGTTTTCCAAATATATAGCGCTCTATTTCCCAAAGTACAGAGTTTCACTAATGAAATCGTTTCCGGTCAGTTTTGAGCGAGAGGGCGCGATTAACATCGCTGTGTCTACTTGGCACCTTTCTCCACAAAACGGTCTCGAGAAATTTTGATTACTTGTCTGGTTTGTTTTTGACACGCAGTTAAACTTTGAGTTTTGATAAAACATGCGTTCTCTTCACTAAAATAGCCATAACTTTTGAAAGAAGCAAAAACTAAAAATTCCCCGACAGCTTATTTTTGCCTGATTATCAGGCAACATTCTATACAAATTTCAGTGAAAAACTCGCCGGAAACGAACTCAAAAGGTGTGCTTCACTCGTTGAAATTTCCGGAAATATCCTTTGCAAGATCTGAATTCCATCGCTCATGCGCCCAGGTTAGTAAGATTTTCGCTTATGTTTCTTCTTTTCGATTTTTAAAACGCCTTAGCTTAGAGATGCTGTAGGCAACGAAAGAGCGCACTCGTAATCAACGTAAAGGAAACCCACGAGATACCGATTGAGCTCAGATGTTGCCATTACCGACATTACCGCTTCAAAGGGCGAAAGCGCCAGGGAAGTAATGCTTAAAGCATGTCAAATACTTCCGCGTCCAGTGCAAGCAACTTCTCCTGCTTGAAGTCGCTAGCCAGCTAACGCATCAGCCCAGTTCTGGTCATTCGAGTGTTTTTGAAACCTTTCAGCCTCGACTTTTGCCTCTGTGATGCTTTCTTCGCACTTGCAAATGGACACGAACTCTTGCGTTTCTTCGACGACTTATTTAACCTCAAATCAACAATCTACAAACGGCGAACACTCAGACCAATTAGTCGACTACCAAACAGAAACGTTTGACAATCGTACTACGCGGCAATCTGTCACACACCTTTTTAATGTACTTCTCGTGACAACCCATTGACAGCTATCAGTTAGAGGTAATTAATGCAAAGAAACGTTTTTCGTTGATAACTTTGCTTAGAATCAATCTTTTTTCACAGAAATTATTTCTAAATGAAATATTGCAATAAGATTTATCTGACAAACGAAAATACTTTTTTGAAAAATGGTCAATTTTGGGGTATACTGACTCCTTAAAGTTAACCCCCATACTCCATAAATGTTGTTAAGGAATGTATTAACATGCCAGTTAGGGTCCTATGCGACCTCAACAGCGTTTTTTGACCATTCATTAATTCAGGCGTAGAAACGAACCAATAAAGGATGTGTGATGAATCTGGGGTCTTTCTAAATGCAAGTAATTGCTCATCCATATTCGAACTCTCGTTTATGTTTGAAATAAAATAGATGCGCCAACGAAGGAACCCTCGAAGGAACCTTATGCAGATATTTTATTTGAGTTAACGAATGAAATGAATCAGGAAATTGAGGATCCAGAGAGGAGGATACGGACATTCTCTGCAAACGTTTCTAGAGCAAAGTCGGGTAAAGTGGTGTCGTATTTACGAGGTACAAACCTTTCAATCAGTACAATTTAGCACTGTTCCATTGGCTACAGGCAGATGTTTGGGAATATCAAATCCAGTTTTAATGGAATACAAAACGCCCAACTTTGAATTTTACACACACATCAGCTGTAAGCTGTAAATGCTGATAGTAAGTATTTTCTCAGCTGTCTGGTGTCGCATTCGTTCTCGATTATAAGGGTATACCCACACTTAAGTTTGTTGCGTTGCTCTAGTATTTCTTCCTCAAGCTTTATCTTTAACTCTTCAAGCTCTCCTAATTTTTGTTGAGACTCTGAAGGGAAAGAAACGCGGTCGCTGTCTGATCCAAATTAGCCATAACTACAATATTTTGCGAAAAAACCCTAAAGAAACACTGAACAGGGAAAAATATCAACAATAAGCGGCTGCCATTGTAAGCGGCCACCCCCGGGAAATGAAAGGTGGCCGCCTCTTAATAGGGGCTCGAATAGGGGTTCGTCAGGAATAAGCATGACGATTTGTAGAAACGCCAATTTATTCAAATACAAACATCTGCTTGAAGGCAACATGGAATCACGTGTCATCGCCTTTCCAAAGCAAAGCCAAACTATGTGCGTGTGAATTAAGTTTTGAGTGGTCGCTTAAAAGGGGTTAGGACAATAGAAAACCCTCATCGGGAAGATCAAAAAGTGGCCGCGGCCGCTTATTTAATAATAGAGATGGCTGCTTAATTAATAGGCCGCGCAATGTGAGAACATCTTTTTCCGTGAAGTTGTATTTCCTTTACAGGGTGACAGCATTATGCCAGATTTGTTTGCGACGTATTGAAGTTTGACACAAATTTAGTTGTCATTTCCTAATTATATCAAAGACCTTTTCGATCATTTTCGACAATACAACATTTCAATCTAAGTTAAGATCACTTTAGTCGGCAAAGGTTTCAATTTGTGGTACATTATAAATTATTCTAATATTACTTTAGCGATTTGCAATGCAATTGTAACTAATAACTGAATGTTGCGTCTTGGTCTAGGTTGGTTCTTTGGAATCTTTACTTCAACCTTACACTCGTTTTGATGCTTCATTATCTCTTCAAGCTCCTCGTTTCTCCGTTCAAGTTGTTGCACTTTCCTTTGACTATCTGAGGAAAATGAAAAAGACGCTCTCAAATATTTATGGGTCTATATGTAATAATGTCAAATGATAACATGTTTTTGTCCTGCGAATGCACTTTAGTAAACCAGGTTTACGCCCCGCAATTTAAAGTTAGCGTAGCACAAATATTCAACAAGTGTACCTTCTAGACACTTTTTTGTCCTTCTAAGCTCAGCGCATTGTCGCTGGAGTTCAGCATTTTCCTGTTGAGGCTCATTGGTCAGTCTCCACTGACATCCTACTGGAGAAATTGGAAACGTTCTCTATTTCATCCAGTGTTCTAGTAATGAGTTTAGCCAATACAGAACAGTATTCATGTGGCAATCGCTACTGTCAATAAAAGTGAAAAGGACTGNGGAAGACGTCATTTATAAAAACAGATAAAGGGACGAATCGGGACTTCGAGACCCTTAGCCTTGCGAAAAAAAACGAGACAGCTTCGTATAAGAATCGAGACTGCGAGACGCACATAACCGCTAAAAAACAATACAATACAACATTTCAATCTAAGTTAAAATCACTTTAGTCAGCAAAGGTTTCAATTTATGGTACATTATAAATCATTCTAATACCACTTTAGCGATTTGCAATGCAATTGTAACTAATAACTGAATGTCGCTTCTTGCTCTAGGCTGGCTCTATCTTTACTTCAAACTCACACTCGTTTTGATGCTTCCTTTGCTCTTCAAGCTCCTCGTTTCTCTGTTCAAGTTGTTGCACTTTCCTTTGACTCTCTGAGGAAAATTAAAAAGACGCTCTCAAATATAAATGGGTCTATATGTAACAATGTCATATGATAATATGTTTTTTGCCTGGGAATACACTTTAGTAAACCAGGTTTACGCCCTGCAATTTGAAGTTAGCGCAGCACCAATATTTAACAAGTGTACCTTCTAGACACTTTTTCATCCTTCTAAGCTCAGCGCATTGTCGCTGGAGTTCAGCATTTTCCTGTTGAAGCTCATTGGTCAGTCTCCTTTGAAATCCTACCGGAGAAATTGGAAACGTTCTCTATTTCATCCAGTGTTCTAGTAATGAGTTTAGCCAATACAGAACAGTATTCATGTGGCAATCGCTACTGTCAATAAAAGTGAAAAGGACTGTACAGCTCCTCAAAGGATCCTGGACTGCAAATGATCCCAAAATTGGACCGGAAATAATCCCGTTAAAAAATTGAAATAGCACGGATGTTGGGCTGTATGGGGCAATGATTTGGTACCGAGTCACACCACCGAGTCTTTAATTTTCATAATTTCATAATTTGCATTGAACGTTACTCCTTACTCCAAAATGCATTCAAATTCAGTAATGCATAGCGTAATGAGGATTTAAATTAAAATATTAAATCAATGAAAAAAATTCCGATAAAGTAATTTGCTTGGGAGCCTTTACGGTTTTTTCAGTATTAGTCACATGACCATGAGCGTGGCCTGATGACGTCATCACTAGTGTTGCTGATCATGAAAAAGTTAAAACACATAAAATAACTCTGAAGTAACTAAAAATGACGAGGTTATATGAGAATAAATTTTCCCTAGCAACAGCTCGAAAATATCGGTTAATGGGCCCTTAAGAATTGTAGCTTACGAAGGCATATCTATTTATTAAAATAAAACTTGTTAAAGTTTTCCGAATATATGGCGCTCTATTTACCAAAATACAAAAGTTCCTTAATGAAGCTCGTTTCCGGTCGGTTTTGAGCGAGAGGACGCAATCAACGTCGCTGTGTCTTCTTGGAACCTTTCTCTAAAACAAGATGTCGGGAAATTTTGATTACTTGTCTTTTTTTGTTTTTTGTTTTTTTTTGACACGCAGTTAAACTTTGAGTTTTGATAAAACATGCATCCTCTTCACTAACATAGTTGAACTTTTGAAAGAAGCAAAAACTAAAAATTCCCCGACATCTTTTTTTCGTTTTTTTTTTTTTTTGCCTGATTATCGGGCAATATTCTATCCAAATTTCAGCTAAAAACGTTAAAAACTCGCCGGAAACGAACTTAAAAGGTGTGCTTCACTCGTGGAAACTTTTCTTTTGAGATACGAAGGAAAGTATACTTTGAGGCGTTCTTCCGGTGTAATGAGATAACTACACAAAAAGTGTGAACATAATGACGCGTTGACCGCTAACGTGAAGGCTCATTTTACTTTAACAATAGAGCTCGTGCGGCGGGAAAAAACCTTTGCAAGATCTGAATTCCATCGTTCGTGAGCCCAGGCTAGTAAGATTTTCGCTTCTGTTTCTTCGTTTGGATTTTTAAAACGTCTTAGCTTAGAGATTCTGTAGGAACGAAAGAGTGCACTCGTAATCAACGTGAAGGAAACCCACGAGATGCCGATTGAGTTCAGGAGTTGCCATTACCGCTTCAAACGGCGAAAGCGCCAAGGAAGTAATGCTTAGAGAATGTCAAATGTCTTCCTCGTCCAGTGCAAGCAACTTCTCCCGCTCGCAGTCGCTAGCTAACTAACCCATCAGCTTCAAAGCTTTCGGCCTCGGCTTTTTCCTCTGCGGTGCTTTCTTCGCACTTTCAAATGGACATAAACTTTTGCGTTTCTTCGACGACATATTTAAGCTCAAATCAACAATCTAGGAACGACGAACACTCAGACCAGCTCGTCGACTACCAAACAGAGACGTTTGACAATCTTACTACGCGGCAATCTGTCACGCAACTTTTTAATGTACTTCTCGTGACAATCCGTTGACAGGTATCAGTTAGAGGTAATTAACGTAAAGAAACGTTTTTCGTTTATAACTTTGCTTAGAATCAATCTTTTTTCACAGAAATTATTTCTAAATGAAAGATCGCAATAAGACCTATCTGACAAGCGAAAAACAATTTTTTTTTAAAATGGTCAATTTTGGGGTATATTGATACTTTAAAGTTAACGCCCATACTCCGTAAATGTTGTTAAGGAATGTATTAACATGCAGTTAGGGTCCTATGCGACCTCAACCACGTTAATTGACCATTCATTAATCCAGGCGTAGAAACGAACTGATAAAGGGTGTGTGATGAATCTGGGGTCTTTCTTAATGCAACTAACTGCTCAACCATTTTGAAATTCTCGTTTATGTTTGAAGTAAAATAGATGCGCCAACGAAGGAACCTTCGAAGGAACCGTCTGCAGATATTTTGTTTGGGCTACCAAAAGAAATGAATCAGGAAATTGAGGATCCAGAGCGAACGATACGGACATTCTCTGCAAAAGTCTCTAGAGCAAAGTTGTAAAGTGGTGTCGTATTTACGAGATGCAAACCTTTCAATCAGTACAATTTAGCACTGCTCGATTCGCTACAGGCAGATGTTTGGGGATATCAAATCCAAAGTTTTGTTGGAATACAAAACGCCCAAGCTTGGGTTTTACAGACACGTCAGCTGTAAGCTGTAATTAACAAATAAAGAAGCCTCGACTGTGCTCTGTTCTGTTGTAAAGCACGCAGGAAGCGGTAGAGCACGTTACGTGTTTTGTCGGCGGGAATCTAGCAAAACTTGTTATTTTAGTACAGTTTTAACAATGGTCTCTGAGCCATATTTACTACAGACAAATAGCTCGTTTCCATTGCGTTTGTCTGAATCACAGGGGATGTTTAATTTGGAGCAAATTTGTCAAAATTCCGACGCAAAAATTTGAAAGCCAACTTACCGTCATCAACCCGTGCTCTGTTCTCTGATAAAGCACGCACTTTCAATCAATCAGAGCGCGCGTTATATGGAAACTTTATTATAAATGCTAATATGTTCTCTGGTGTCCGGTGTCGCATTCGTTCTCGATTATAAAGGTATACTCACACTTATAAAATTATGTTATAAGTTTGTTGCGTTGCTCCAGTATTTCCTCCTCAAGGTTTATCTTTATCTCTGCAAGCTCTCCTATTTTCTGTTTTAACACTGAAGGGAAAGAAACGCGGTCGCTGTCTGATCCAAATCAGGCATGACTGTAATATTTTGCGAAAAAACCTAAACAAACACTGAACAGGGACAAACATCAACAATAATCGGCTGCCATTGTAAGCGGCCACCCTCGGGAAATGGGAGGTTCGAATAAGGGTTCATCAGGAATAAGCATGACGATGTGTAGAAACGTCAATTTATTCAAATAGAAACATATGCTTTGAGGCAACCTGGAATCATGTGAAGACAATATTTAAAGGGTGTTTCAATTTTTTTTTTTTTTTTATAAGTGGTCACTTTCTATTTCGGACTCTTGTCTGTCATCGCCTTTCCAAAACAAACCCAAACTATGTGCGCATGAATTAAGTTTGGTTGATCGCTTAAAAGGGGTTAGGACAATATAAAACCCTTATCGGGACGATCAAAAAGTGGCCGCGGCCGCTTAATAGAGGTGGCTGATTAATTAATAGGCAGCGCAACGTGAGAACATCTTTTTCCTTGAAGTTGTATTTCTTTTACAAGGTAACAGCATTGTGCCAGATTTGGTTGCGACGCATTGAAGTTTGACACAAATTTAGTCGTAGTTCGCTTCGCAGCACCATAATCAGGATTTAAGAAGAATATATAGAAGGGAGTACGAATTCTCGAGTTCATCCCTTTTTACCAGAATGCATTGAATTTAACCAGATTGCACTGCGCCACTTTTTACCAGAGTGCGTTGCGCCACGAACAACACGAGGACGTCGAGCCGTCGTTCTTTTCGCGTGGATCCCAGTGAGAAAGGTTAGTGGTTATGTTTTGCTCTAATTTACCTGTGAAACGATGTGAAGGAGATTGTGCCTGCTGACTTTCACAACTCTTGCTTTTGTTGTTAATGCAGTAGGTGAAAGTTTGTAAATCTGGACAATCAATTTTTAAACTCAGTATGTCATTTCTTAGCAGTCTCGCCTCCTTGGCCGAATTCTTAAATAAAGAGAAATCGTCGCTACTAAAGCTTGTAGAATATAATTAAGACAAACGAAAATCGTAGAACACGCTAATTTCATATATGCTGCGATCTATTCCTTTTCATCCAAACGGGAATTTAAGCTGAAGCTTTAGCATTTTCACATATCGCGATGGACGCGTCCTCTACACAGTCTGTCAACATTCTAGAGACATTTAATGCGTATTACTACAGAATTTATAAGTTAGATTTCTGCTCCTACGTCAATTTCCACATCTTTCGATTCTCGCGATCTGGTAAACGGGAGATTGATGTGCATCATTTCATGTCCAAACATAGTTCAGATCAAGGGGTGACGAATGGTAAATGAGAGTCTTTGTGAGACGGCGAGACAGGCGTTTTTCTCTGCGAGCCCGAGAGACATTTTGACGTTTTAGATTGCGAAACCGAGACTTCAAAGCGTGCAGACTCTCAAAATTTTGAGCCCCAGATTTAGTTGAGAGCTAGAATGAGCTTTTACAGCCCTTAGCCAGCTTCTTAGTACTGACTGGAACTGGAAATTCGATTATAACACACTACGTTATG